GGTTTAAACTCGAGCCGCTCCGCAATGAATAATTGGGCCAGAAGATTGACGCGAACAGGATGAGTGTATGCATGAGAAAGCTTTCTCAGAGCAAGAGAGAAATTCAGACGAGACTTGGTGACTCCTGGCGACGTCTCTACTCTGAAATTTCAGCAGCTGACATGTCGACACTCTGCAATAAATTTACCATACGGGGAGACCTTGCAACTGTCGACCACTTGACAATTGATGAGCAAAAAATCGTTTCTGGCAAGGCAAAGCGACCGCTTTGGCATCAATTTTCTTCCCATCCTTACGAAGCTTCCTTGCAAATTCAACAAGACACCGACTTTGCGTGAAGCACCCACAGACTTCCAGGTGACCCATCATCAGTGGCAGTGACAGTGGATGAATTGCAGAAGCACCAGTAGGAGCCTGTTGACGATGCCAGCTGCGTTGCCATTTGACAGGAATTGATGCCATCACAGCCTCTTTTATGCCTTGGCAATCACTGTGATAGCATCAATTTGTGTCAAAATGGCATCGCAGCTGGCATCGCAAACATGGCATTTTCTACCAGTGAAGGCAATCAAGACTATGAAATGCAAGGCAGCCCCAGGGTTGGATCTCATCACAGTGGAGATGCTTCGACAGAATCTCTTTCTTCTTGCTCCATGGCTGGCACGGATCTACACAGCTTCTTTGTCCCTCTGACACTTCCCCAGAGCTTGGGGGACAGCCACAGCTATGACATTCAAGAAAACGGGAAAATCAACATACAATACCCCTCGCAGCTACTGACCAATCAGTTTGCTCTCTTACATGGGCAAGGCGCTTGAGAAGATTGTGAACCGATTGCTGATGACTCATCTTTAGACGCGAGGTTTGCTGGCACCTCACCAATATGGCTTTTGCAAAAATATACAAACGCTCACTGCTTGCATGAAATTAGTGCACGGGGTGTATTCTCCTCGGCAAGGAGAACTAGTGCAATTAATTACTTTAGACTTGCAGTTGTGTGTGACACAGCATGGCATGCGGGTTTGCATTGCAAATTGAAGCCATCAGAAATTGACGATGACTTGGTGGGCTGAGTCCAGACCTTTCTGAGCAAACGGGTAGCTTGTGTTGAGGTGGGGGATCACACCAAACAATACTGAACCAATGTGGTGTTCCCCAAGGGTCGCCACTTTCATCTACTTTGTTTTAGTTTATGTCAATGATTTACTGCGCAGCCTTGGCACATTGCAACGACTCCGAGCCCAAGGCTCTGCAGATGATTTGCCTTTGTGGACCTGTGGTGCTCTTCGTCCTGGAGCAGTTCTCCCAACGCTTCGACATGCCTTGTGGAGAGCGGAGAAATGGTCCAATCGATGGCACATGCGATTTTATCCACAGAAATGCGAGTGCATGACTTTCAGTGGGAAAACAATAGTCGCGAAAAGAGAATTCACTCGCTTTCTGTATGGGGAGAAACTGCCCTGTACTCATGAGTTGTGTTATCTTGGTGTTTGGTTTGATGCACACATGACTCTAAATCGCCATGTTCGCGAGGCAGTTGCTGAAGCAAGAGCCTGGATATGGGCATGGAAAAAGGAGTTGGGACCAGTTGGGGACTGCATCCTCAACTTTTCTTGCGTTTAGTGAAGGGGTTGGTCATTCCATACCTTTTCCATGGGGCTCCTGTTTGGGCTGCGGTTTTAGGAATCGAATACAGATTGGGCGATTGGCACTTTGGCACAGGCTGCTCGACTAGCTTTCAGTTTGGGACGTTTCATATCTATTGAGGCATTTCTTGCACTGGCAGGCATTGGTCCAGACTGATTGCACGTCATGAGATCGCTCATGAGATACATGTATAGGTACCGCAGAGCCGCCCTGAGCAAAGCCACGATCCACCGATCTCATGCTACACCGGCCGAGCTGGGCAGGGCTTGGTTCCGGCGGACGTCGATCAGACGACAATCGGAGGACATTCTTTGTGCGCAGCAGTGGCAAGTTCTGAAAATTGTGGACAAGGCTCTGGTCGCTGAGTGGCAGCGTCGATGGCACAATGTTGACACCGGACGCTTTTTGCATGTTCTTCTACCAGATTTGGAGCGCCCTGGAGTCCTGATGACATTGATCATTGCCAACGCTCTGAGTATGTTCGGCTGGCGCGTTTTGGGTGGCGCGTTTCCTGTGGCCGCCATTGGAGGCGTGTTTTTCGGTTACATAAGTGGGCCCGAACGGGCCCCTTGCACAATAGATGGTATGCCACATTGATCGATGCCGTAACGTCTTGTCGATGCATCCATGTAAGGAACTACATTGACCAATGCCGCGATATCATGTCGATGCATCCATGTAAGGCAGAAACAAACAAGCAAGTATGAAAAGCATGCATGCCCGTACATTTGTGTCAAGTCCTCCATTCCCCGCATTTTTGTGCTCGCCTCCTCCCCTTGTGTTCCAGCTTACTTCCCACAAATTCTTCAATAACCTTGCTGTAGACAGTAAATGAGACTTACTACACCCTTTCAAGAGTCATCACTTTCACAACATTGGTGGACCATCTCTTCCACTACACTAAATCGTGTTTCGGAAAAAATCGATTTCAATGTTGGCCATGTTGGCAACAATTTACGCCACCCTTTTTGGTTAGCGTCACCATGCACGGGTTTCCAGACGTAAGCACATCTACCAAGTTGATGCTTTTGACTAGAACAAGCTGTCCCTTGGTCTTTGGCTTCAACATTCGCAGAATACTTGCCAACGCCCTAATCTCCATGGCGGAAAAACAACTTTGTACTGTGGATCCCAATCGGAACCTCGACGCATATTTTGTGCATACCTACCCACCAAGTCACACATCTCTCCTTGGGGTAGCTCAGCTCGATCGACCTCCGCTGAAGGCAATGCCCCGCTCTAGGTCCCGAGTGAGGGTGTCTTCACAGTGGGTTTCCTAAATTACAGTTGCTAGTTTTAGGGGAATTCAGGGTGAATCTCATTGTTGATGCTCAAACCTGATGAAACTCATCAGCCACCTTTATCTGAGAATTCAAATTGATTCCATGCACCGGGGTTTCACATAATTGGTGATGACACCCAAATAGTGGCGGCACTCACGGCCATGACCTCCACGTTATCCTCGTGTCAAGTGGATGTCATGCACTGTCGACTGACATTTCGAATACCGCAGAATGCCTGAAAATTAGGGCCTGTATCGCAAGGATAAAGATGTTGACAGAGGCGAAACCTGGGGAGAGAAAACCCGTCTGGAATCAGCTGTGACATGCGACCAAGATGGAAGCCCCCCAAACCCCATCACTGTGCTCGGAATGAAGAGCAGTCTGAGGACGTATGGAGTCGTGAGCTCCCAAACTGAGTGCCGCGTGGCAACTTATGGAATCGCACATTCTCAAACACAAGACATGCAAAGTTCAACATAATGATTCTGCCTGCTGGGCCACATGCACGCTTAGCTGACTCACATGTATGTGGGTATGCTTGGGTGTATACTTGGGTATATACCCAAGTCCATGCTGCAGCCAACAGCAGCAGAGTGCAGCCGCATCCAGGATTTGAGGCACTCAGCACCCTTGTGAGCAACCACATCTCCCATGTTGACCATTCTGCTGGTGTTGGTACCTGTTGGATTTAACATGGTGGAGAATCACTATCCAACACTCAGTTGCACATCATTTGCAACTGCACTATGGTGCTTGCAGTAACAGCCAGATTTTACACTTTTGCGTTACAACACACTCCAGCATAGTCAGGGCAATTGGGATGATGGGGACCATCAAAGCCTTGCAAAGATGACAACGATGCAAAGCCAAAACAAGGGTGGACGCCAAATGGGCTGAGAATGGGTTCTGATCTTCACAACAAGCTGCTGCCATGGGCACAAGAATTGAAGGAGGCTCACAGCCAATTCATTGTCACGACAGCATGCCGACCAGCTCAAAGCCAACTTCACATGTGTCCATAGTCGTGGTGACTGCAGAAGAGGCCATCTGGCAGTTTCATCGAACACAGAACAGGTGGGTGTCACTGCACCAACCACTGTGACAGGAAACAACGTCGACAGGAGAGACAACCCTGAACAAAAGTGCATGTCATATTTACAGCAGAAAGAACAGGCCCAGCTTTTGGTACATCCCATCATCTGATGCTTCACACGTTCCAAGAGTCTGTTTGACTGCTTGGAAGCCCAGATGACTGAACTTTTGGGAGAGTTGAGTCTACGCGTCAGATGGAATTTCCTTTTGCAACAATTGCAACGGGCAACATGTTCCTGTCAGGTTTTCCTGACAGCAACATTGCATTCATTTTCAACACCAATTTCAAAATTTTTCCTAGTGAGAGCTCGACCTAAGCAAAACCATTCTTTGGAATTAACCTATTTCCATCCAGCAATTGCTGCGCAACACTTATGTACAAACCCCCACCCTGCCGCTCTAACTCAGAACAATCTTTTCGTCTACCCCAGTGCAGCCCAGGTCATCTGAACAAACCACACCTGCAAGCCAGCACACCCCCAAGCACACACAACTCCTCTCTTCTTTTCACAGATGCATGACTTGGTGTGCAATTCCAACCTCAAAACTTGCCTCAGAACAGCCCTGCAGCTACTTACAAGCGCTCATGACCACCCCTCCTGGTGTGTGCGTCCACATTGGGAGTTTCCTCAGAAAAAACTTGAAAAAACAAAGCAGCACCATGACCAAACCCGACTTGCTGCCATGTTGCTGCCATCCTGCTATCGCCCAAAAGGCTCAAGGTTCCCGCTTTGTTTTTCCCAGGTAAGCTTAGACAAAGGCATTCGTCCCTCACAGGTAAACTTAGGAAATGGAAAGGCAAAGAAAAAGTAAGGCAAAGGAAAAAGAAGGAAAAGGAATTCATGAGTCCCTTCTTTCTTCCCCCCCTTTCCCAGCTTGGAAAAGAGTCTAACACACATTTGCTTAGAAAGGGGTGCCCTTTGTGGGACCTGTTTCTTGCACTTCTTGTAACCATCCCCAAACCCCAGCCAGGTACCCTCAGCGCTCCAGCTGCAGCTCCTTGAGCGCCGTGTACACGTCGTCCTTGTTGTTTGTGGACGTCTCGCACCGCAGCCGCCCCGTGTACTGGCAGCTGTAGCAGTACAGCTGGCTCAGCGGCCGCCTCACGCTGCAGCTCAGGCAACGAAAATCCTTCCTGCCGTCGTGCGCCATCCCCTTGCGGTGGCACGACGTGCAGAACAGCTGCGCCAGCGCCTGGGCCGCCTGGCAGTTGTCGCACTTGAGTGCACTCGGCCGATCCAGCCGCATGAACGCCCCAAAAATCTCACAAACGCTGCGAGGGGCGACGTTGTGGGCGTTCAGGGCATCCATCGCCGCGTCCAGCTCGGGGCGCATCGGGGACGGCTGCATTCCCTCGATCATGTCGCGCATGATCACACGCTGGCACTTGCGCTTGAGGTCGTGCATCGCCAGGCGGTCGGCGACGCCCAGCCAGCGCGCGGCGTTGAGGCAATCGTCCTCGCCGTCGGCCTCCGGTGGGGCTTCCGAGCATGCGCCGGAGACGGACCAGTCAGCTTCACGCTTGATGAAGTACAGGCTGTCCTCCAGCTCGCACAGCTTCTCCTCCGTCGCCCGGAACAGGGGCGCCATCTCGTACTTGTCGCCCAGGTGGACCATGCTCCAGGCCTCCCTGGCCTGGAGACAAACACAGCGGGTCATCCTTGCGCGGGGGCCACGCTAGTCTTTTCCGGGTCGTCCCAATTTTAATAGATGTTCCCGAGGGAACACACGCAGCTGGTGCTGTTGGCTATTTTCCACTGCTGATGATTTCTTCCTTGCTGATTCTTTCTTGTTGCGATAGAGCCATTTGCAGGATAACCCCGGCGGTCTTAAGGCTCTTGACCCCACAAACGGCAGTGATAGGCCCATTGGCCCCTGTGGGGTCTGTTCACAAAATGGGAGTAGTGCACTCTGAGATTAGCGCATGGGCTGGATGGCAGGAAATGAGGCGCAAAAGGGTTTTGCCTGGAGGGGTGGTATGTGAACCATTTTCTCTTGGCGAACATCGCACCATCGTGTGCAACCATCTTTACAGAGAGGTAGCCCTCCATTGGGTCAGTCACATCATCGGTTTGCAATAAGGAACATGGTTACAAGGGCATTTGTCAGGTATGCGCTTGTGACAAATGACATCCCAAGCAAATGCACTCAACAGGGTCTCTCAACTTACCAATACTCATGCTGGCACATGGACAGTTTTGCTGTAACAGTTGCAGTCAATTTATGCAATGCTTGCTGCAAAGCAACAATTCAAAACTTGAGAGATGGTGGGAGGTAGCAGTGTGCAGGTGGGGTGAGGGTAGCACAGGTGCGTTCTCAGCTGTGATTTGGGCATTGATTACATAAGCAGCCTCAACAATCTCACAGCAATCCACACTGTTACACCCAGAAAAGACAGCCAATATTGTGCCACATTGGAAGATGCATATCAACAACACTAGCACAGGCAGCCATGTCCATCACATTGAGGACTGAGGGCAATGATATCTAAGCAGGTGCACTGCGCCAGGACAGAAGCACAATTGTCCCAAAAAGGAGCATGCAATGCCACTAAAGCAGAACAACATGTGCAACAACCATCTGGATGCTTCTCTGGAACAGCCCAGAAACTAATCTGTGTTGTTGCAGCAAGCAACACATCAACGAATGCACCCTTTGGCAGCCCGAACAAACGGCCCAATAGAACAATGCACAGACTCCCAAGGGTGGTTGTTGTACCTGCAGCTTTCAGTTTCTTGCAATGAGCCCAACAAGGCCACATCGGCACACAGAATGGTGTGTGCTCCATGGGACAACTTACCGTTGTCAGCTTCGTGCGCCGTCCATATGCGACTGCCAGCATCAGTCTCGCCTCATCCGCCCCCACAGCCTTGTCCAATGTTATCACTGTTCTACCATCCTCCTTTGTGCATTCACCGCTCGCTGTCAGGTCTGACAGCATCCTGCAGAAGAATTGAGAGTGCAGGGCCAGGACGCCGCTGTGCACTGGCAGCTTCTGGCCTTGGACCACAAGGACCACATCACACAGGTTGCTGTATTCCACAGTGCCAGGCATATACCAGTGATCGCCTGCCTGGCTTGCTTCTGCTTCTGCCATGCTTCTTCAGGACTGTCCACCTGAGATGACACAAACATTATCTAGGAACGCCAGCAAATATGCACTTAGTACCTTTTGCACATAATGGTTTGTACCATACGAGTACTTGGCTTACCCACATTGTAACAGCGCTCTGTAGTTTGATCGACATGAAGAGTTATGCCCCACGGAGGAATGCAACACATCCAATTCCATATGACAAAGCCAACACTTCCATGCCTGACATTTGATCACCAGCCAACCTTGCCAAAAACGCCCATCTCAGATACGCATGCAACAGTGCTGTCAATGCAGGTCTACACATTACAGACTCCACAAAGAGGAGGCACAAAAGTTCCGTTTCTGATAAACCCTTAGCCATGAAACATCACTGAATGGTTGTTGAAATGGGTTCTTGTGCGCAATGTCATATGGCAGGATTCCTGATTTCTAGCAGCAAGAGGACCACGCCAATCAGGTTGAGCTTCTGTCATCCACACTCTTCCACAATCATACGTTTCTTAGCGTTGAAGTTCGTCTGTGGCTCTTTGTCCCTTCAGGAACGATTTTGGGCATTCTTTGACTGGGTGCGATGGTTGGGGAGGCATATCTTCTGAAAGTGGGATCAGACATGGTAATTTCCAGTGAAGTACTGTTCAATAAACCAACAGTTGAGCCAAAGGATTCACATTTCTGCAGCCAGCCATCCTGTCATAGTGCCAATGAAAGTAGAAACTTGGACGGGCAAAAACCAAAGGCACAACTAGCAGCTGGATTTTCACCAATTAGCCTTGGTCAAGCTGTCCCAACATCTCAACATCTCATATATTGTATTGATACAGCAGCAGCAGCCTATCTTTATTGGAGAATGCGGAGGAAACACAAACAATCATGAACCTTTGTCTGGCAGAAACTGCAAGGCCAAAAGGGAAATTGGCAAGGCCTGGCAAGGTCTTTTATGGATCACTCTATGCTGACAGCTTCAGCTGCCTGTTTCAAGCACCCAGTTAGTTCCTGCACCAACTGGATGGACAGGGAGCGCACTGTCGCCTACACAAACAGTGCTATGTTTCTGACAGTACCAATAACTCTTCCTACTACAAGTATCTGCTATTCTGAACCAATTTGAAGTCCCTGCTGCGATCTGCATCTGGAAATGCTGACCCAATTCTCAACAAACAGATGTCTGAGCTTTTTCTTGCTGGAGGCTGGTAGAGGTGACAACGGTCCATCCATTGCGATTTACCCACAACAAAATGGGAATGCAAATACACAAGTGCTGCCATCAGTGCCCATTTGATAGGTCACAGGCAGTTTTATTAAGCTGAAACAATGCTCTCAGCATGAAGTGTACATTGGCAGCGCGGCATCTAAGCTACAAGTGACAACACAGCCAGGGCCAACTGCTGATGCTGTGTGTGTGTGTGTGTGTGTGTGTGTGTGTTTGTTGGTCTGCAAGGATGTTCCCATGACCACAGCAACAGCGTATCAGCTGCCACAATCGCCTTTCTGACAAGGTCAAAAGCCGACTGTTTACTTCACTCAAGCAAGGAAAGACGCGCAAGGTGCTGTCGCCTCCCTGAGCGATGTGCCTCCGTCTTCAATGCAACAAGATTCAGCTCCAACCTCAAATCAGCAATACAAACCTTCACACCACTAAGAACGGGTGCAGCTCGTATTCCCTGGGGGGGGGATCGCCTGCTGTATTGCCGTTGTGCGCTGCAGAGCACGTGTCCCCTTATGTACTACTCCAGAAGCAGTAGGAAGCTCAGGAGTAAGGATTATCAACCCAGCCCAGTCCATAGATAATCATCCACCACGCAACAATGACTGTCCAAAGTGGATCCTAGCATCCACACAACTCGGTAGCGATCCATCACCTCTGAAAATGCTCTGTCGCTGCGCCTACGCAAGGATAGGTCACAGTACTGCCCCCTACACATCTCCCACTATGTCGGACGCCCGTCACTGACGACCAAAAGCTTGGCCTCCTTGGATGGCCGTCGGGCCCCCTTCGTGTTTTGACGAATCCGTGCGTCTATCGGCACAACTGCCCAGACACGAAGGGGAAGGTAATCGGCAGGAGCGTGCGGACGTGCAACGTGAGCACGGACGGATGCACCCAGGGAGGGCTGCGCGCATGTCCCCTCGCTCGCCGAGGTACAGCGCGCCCCAAGTTAGATCGTCCAAAACTTCCTGCTCCGAGAAAAGAGAACGTTGCAAACAGCTGCAGCTGACCCCTCGGCGATGCGCCGTCGGCGTCTTACGGATTCCCGGCCCCCCTTGCGCCGATGCGCCTTGACAGCCGCTTGGAGGCGATTGGGCATGCGATAACTGGCCAAGGGCAGGGAACGCCGAACCCCACCTCGAAGGGAACCGATCGCTTGTCGTCGAGGCCAGCAAAGGCAACTTTTCTTGAAGCAAAGGCTGGAGGCGGCAGGGGAGGCACCCACGGGCACCGTCGGCGCCCCGCGGCAATGGCCACGCGCCCGCTCGCAATAATCCGCATGTCGACGCGAAGTATCTACATAAAAACCCGGCGTAGAGATTGCATCGGCCATGCGGAACGCCCAAAGCTGCCATTCGATTCGAGGCGCAGGCCGGGCGACGTCCGCAGATCGCTCGTCGCGGCAACATAGAAAGGATGGTCCCCTATTCCGCGGTTCGATGTGCGCAGCGCTCGAGCATCCACGCCCATGGCTCCACCGCCGCCAATTCGGATTCCAGCTTTCCGATTTTCGCCTCACCTTGTGGACCCTTTCCGGTGCCTCTCCGTGCGCAGCAAGCCCAGGCCGCGGCGCGCCCCTGCGCCTTGTCGCTCTCGCCGGGCAGCGCTGGACCTAGATTTGTCCACAAGCCATCTTTGCGGTGGAGGGCGCGCCTTTCTTAACCAATTTAGGGCAGTTGGGCCATAATTTAGTTTAGTTACTTCAGTTCAGTTCAGTTCAGGTTAGTTCAGGTTAGTTTAGTTTAGTACAATTCAAATTAGGTTAGTTTTGATTAAACAGCGCAAGCATCGATGAATGGCGCATGTCCTGGGGACCACTCTTCCGTCGAGCCTCGCACATACCCAAGGCAGCGTGCACGTGGCGAATCTTGCAGCGCAAGCCTGGTCGGGTCGCAAAGTCGACGACATAAGATGGGCGCACACAAGGAGCTTTAAACCGTGCTCTGCCATCACCGTGCTCCCACCGCGCCATCACTGTGCTCTGCCATCACCGTCCACGATGATTGGGCTTACACGAACAGAGTACTTCGAAGCACAATATTTTGATAAGAGCGAATCAAAGAGAAAATGCGCAACAGCATCGCACTTACAAATGCACCATACAAAACTGCAAAACCAGTCGCTGACCGGGTGGCACCAGGTCGCAGCACGGCTTATTGATTCTAAATTGAATAAAGAATCTGCTCAGCAGCAGAAGGCTCCTGCAGTAATCAACAACCAAAAATGACCCAATAATGCGCATATCAGCAAACCTCCCTCATCGCCCTCCGAAAATCAGCCACAGAGTGCAGTCCAAAAAGCCCGAAAATCACGCGCCAAAAGAAGCTCCATCCTTCCATAGAGAATAAGGTACAATTTAGGAGCTCCATCCGCTGACGAGCCACAGTTCTGTTGTACACACGGCTTGCTCAGCCATCAGCTATTCCCATCCCCAACGCCCAACCGTAGGCACCTCACGGAGCGCCCCTCCAAGCGTTTTCATGACTCCCCCGTTCCCCCACTGCCGCTGACCCTCAAGCATATCGTTCTTCTCAACGACATCTCGCTTCCCCGCCCTTGGCCCGGCTCTTTCACGATGAGCCAGCTATGCGCCTGCTCCATTCCGGGACGCCAAAAATCACATTGCCGGCACCTGCACCACGAATAAAAATGAGGCACAAGCAAAGGACAGCCTTTTCCAAACACTGTCAACCCCTTGTTCCCGATCTCCACTCCGGCTGGCTGCTCCCGAAAAATTCATTTTGAGGGTGCCTGCAGAGCAAACTTCTTCAGCCCGTCACAGATCTCCTCCCGCTTCTCCGCCAAGTACCTTGTGTCCCAAGTCCCCAGGCTGCTGCTCCAGGTGCTCACGGGTCGGGCGCAGGACGGGCACTCCACACTCTCCGCCCCACCCACCAATGGCGCCACAGGCTTGAATCCACACGAGGGGCACTTACGAGCATCAAAGTAGTGGCTGTCAATCTCCTTCCTTGCCACCAACTCCATCAGCACAGCGGCTACCGCAGCCATGCTGCTGCCAGACACCCCGTAGCCATCCAACGATGCAATAGCCCTCTCCAATTCGGGGCGGCTGTGGGTGGCCCGGATGTGCGTGGCCATGTCTCTGAAAATAATGTACTGGCACTGCAGGCGCAGGTCATCCAGACCCAGGGTATCGGCCACGCCCAGCCAGTAGCCGGCGTCCAGGCAGCGGCTGGACTTGCGAGGCGTCTTCTTGGCCCCCGCTGCGGGATCCACAAAGCAGAGGCTGCCCGAGAGCTCCAGGATCTTTCGGTCGGCTTGCCTGACGAATGCGGGCATGTCATACTTGCTGGCCAGGAGTATCAGGCGACTTGCTTCGTCGGCCTGCAAAGACAATGAACAGGGAACATGAGCAGCCCTTGGGCCCCTATGAAAAGCAGAATTGAGGTGTAAACAGATTCACACTGCTGGCTAGTGGTTGACTTCCCGCTGATACGACTGGCTTTACCCTCAACAAGACATTCTCCCTCCACCTACAAGACTGTCATGGCCTCCATTGAATTCCACATTGGTTGGCAAAGCCCGTTCGTGAATGCCTCCCACAGCCCTTCCTTCGGGCCAACCGTTGGGCTGCATGCTCTTTTCACAGAGGCGCTGTGAGCAGCATGGGTTGAATGTAAGGGAATGCACAAAAGCGCAAATTGGTCTGAGCCACCCACAACTTGAAAGAACATAGCCTGTCAGAGCCCGACATTCGCTGTGAGTGCCGCTCACTGTCTTCCCAGTCATGGGCTTGCCCTGCAGCAAAGCATTGAAACAGAAGAAGGATGCAAACAAGGATGCATTGACTTCCGGCAAAACGCAACTTGGCGCGCCATTTGCCCTTCGGCCTCGCGCCCTCACCGTTTCCAGCGCCGTGCGCTTCCCGTACACAAAGGCCAGCATCAGCTCCACGTCCTCCACGGACGTGCTATCGTCCAGCAGTATGCTAAGCTTGCCGTCCGCCTGGCCCGACGCCCCTTTCGCCTTCCTCAGTTCCTTGATGGTCCTCCGGAAGTAGTGGGAGTGCAGGCCGAGGAAGGCGCCGTGCGCGGGGAACTTCTGGCCGTCGGCGATCAGCACGACGTCGCACAGGTCGTCGAAGTCGTCGCTGCCGTCGGGCAGGTAGTTTTTGGCGCTGGACTGCACGCTCGACATCTTTCCGCTGCGGAAGAGAGGACTTCGGACGTCAGGGGGGACAGAGGCTCGCGACAGGCCCTTTCAAATGCTCTGCGAATTGCCGCGCGCAGGCGCCCTGTCTCCTTAGGTGCATGCCTGAAACGCTGTCCTAAAGACTGTAGCTGAAAAATCGATGCTGACACCAGAATGCTGTGTCTTGTGAGTGGGTAGATACGAATGTGCGCTTTGCCCGGCAGTGGCTGGCCCCATGCGGAGTGGTCACCAATGCATGAATCCGCACTCCGCAGAAACGTGTGGCCTCCTCTGGGCATCCAGTCATGGCACGCTGGCACGGCGGTCCACGCATGACTCGCGGCGGCTCTAGACCACCCAACAACGCACACGGCAAGACCATTGTGCAAGTACTTTTGAGCAGATTCCCACCGGTCTCGCTCGGCACGCGTACCACCGCCATGAGAGCAGCGCGTCGCAGCGACGGCTGCGGGGTGGGAGAACTCAGGCGCTCGACTCGGGACAGATAGGCGTCCAACGCAGTTCCAAAGCGGCAGCCACTATCCGCGTCCCAAAATGGCACGCGAATACATAATCCGCGCGGAGGCAGCTGAGGGGCCACAAACATCCGGCCCAAGACAGACAGAATTGCAACAAAGCCACCGGCACGTCGCGCTGTCCAGCTCCGCCCAGCCCCAAACCCCGACAACAAACCAAAACTACCCCAGCCCGCACACGGCTAAAACCTCCTCGAAGGCTTGCGTGCCATTCCCCGAAGCCGCGGGGGTCGCCGCGTGCCAAGCACGACAACAGCACTGGACCCCACACCCAGTTGGCGTCTGCTTTCCACAAGGTCTCAACGGCGCTCTGGTGACCCCCGGCGAAGGCAAAAGACCGTCGTGCCACGGACGCCCCTCCCGTCGGTAGCCCTTCCAGGCGGACGGGCGCCATAACGCCGGCGCACAACAACAGTAACCAGTCCCCACCCCCACTTGACGTTTGTTCTGCACCCACAAGTTCTGAACGGCACTTTGGCGGCTCCCACGCAAAGCAAACGGCCATTGCCCCACCAACGCCCCTCTCATCTGCTGCCCTTCCAGCCGCAAGTGCGCTACAGTGGCGGCACGCTCACTTCGTGGATGTCCACCCCACCTTTTGGCCCCGATCGGTTAGATGTCGGGTCTGCAGACCAGCGACCTCGACTCAGGCGTGGCGAGCAAGCAGCGGCCGCTCGAGAGGCACTCGTCGCGCACACCGGCTCGAGCTGCCGAACCAGGTTTGGCGGCTGGCGAGGGGAAGGGACGAGAGAAGGGCGGCCCTGTGTTTTGTGCCTTCTATCTGCGGTGGCCTCTTTCTCGCTTTCGACAGTGTTTTCGATGGTGAAGGAAGACAAGGGCGGGTGCCATCGGCCAGGTCAGCAGATCCGCGCGCTTTTTGGCGCGATTTCGCGGCAGTCAACTCTGACGATCGTCAGCACGTGGGGCCGTTCACCGACAATCGACAATCTGATGGGAAGGTTGTTCAGGACCTCGTGACAGCTCTGCGACGGCTCCCAACAGTTCACCCCTCGTGATTGAAACGGAAAAAAGCAGGGGAGAAGGGTGGAAAACGAAAGCAGATTTCTCATCAGCAAAAAAAGGCGGAAAGCACAATGCTCATCGGAAACAACATAAAAGTGCCTTGGTACCTTGACGGCAGAACCTGTTCCCAACGAACAGGTTGAGGGGAGACTCGCAATATCACAGCCTTGGGAGCCTCCCTTCGACCTGCTCCTTGTGCCTCGGCTCTGCCTTCCCTTTGTTCCTGATTGGGGTTGCTGGCCGCCTTGGACTAAGATTCATATTGTCTTGCTACTAAGGCACGGAGTGCACCCAGAATGTCGCTTTGTCCTGCTCACAAAAGTTGTTATCGGCTGATTTTCGCGTTCTCCTTGAGAAAAAGAATCGTGGACATCATTGTCAGTTGTGCGGGCTCTTTTCATGCTCGTTCCTGGCCATGGGACAGGCTTCACAGCCATGACTAGGAGCATGACATGGCAAGGGCTGCGAAGATTTTAATATCTTGTGTCATCAACTGCGCAGCGAGCGCTTTCCAAGAGTGGAGAAACAATGCCGAATGATCTTCCTGGAACAGTGAGTTCCTGTTTGGATAATTTGCAATATCACGCGGGTTTCAAGTGCAGTCAGTGCAAGTTTGAATGACAATGGTTAAGATGATGTTGGCATTGCACATGCACCGATAGCTGATACACCGTCTAAGGCCAAGCGTGTGCCGAAGCTAGTGGGTGTTAGTCCTGTCTACAAGCTATTAAAATATAGCTTGCAAATAATGAAAATTTCACGAGTTAATATGGCATTTGATATTTGCTTGAATGTAAAATTTAAAATACTAAATGTGGAAATTCCTCCTTTTCGACCTACCTCAAATCCATCATTGCTCGTTGTGTTTGTCAAAATTGGAAAATTTTTGATTCTGGTCTAATTGTTTTGTGCTTGTAGTACTACAACATTCATTGCATTTATCTGCTCTATATGCTTTCGGGTGGCATGGTGCATTTCCTTGTGTATGCTGTGTTTTTGAAAACAGATATGTGATACAAAATGACATCCCTCGTTAAAAATAGACTTTAAATTTCATGTAGAGGAAGCATTGGCGCTTGCTTTGTGAGTAAGGTGTGCATCGCTGCGCCACACCAAATGGTGGCAATGTGAAAATATGTCAAAGAATTGTGCTTGAAAACCCATTCAATTTCAGATATACAAGAAAAATGTAATTTGACTTGAATTAATTCTTTTAGCTTTGATGCTGGATGAATCTCAAGCTTAAGATATTCTTGTTTGCTGTGTTTGCAAATAAACAATCTCAAATTATCTGTTCTGGGCAAGAACAATGTACATGCATTTGTGTATATGCATGTTACTCCATAAATCGCCAACAGAGTTGAGCTGTCATCAACGATGTATATTTCTCTCTGAAGATGGAGATATTAATTGAAAACTTGCCTGCAATCATGAATATATAAAACGAAAAGGTACAAAATAGCGCCTCAGTGTAATGCGCACCGCCTTTACAATATATCACTTCACCAGTACTTTACCAGGAGAGTGCCTGGATTGGCAACGGCATCTCTAACCTATCCCATCCTTGGGAATATCAGGCAGGCCACAGTACTGGAGTACTTGGCGCTGTAACAGGACTATCCAGCAGTGGATGAGTCATCAGGGATCAGAGTGACCCGCCGGTCGCCAGCCGGTGTACTGCGAGAGATGGGTGCAGTACTTAATGGGTCTTGGAGTCTGGTATGGGG